TGACTTCAATACAGGCTTGTGTAGCTAAACACAGATTGCAACCAGTTGCGTTCTGTAACTTGTGGCAAAAACATCAATTCAGATGACTGGAATACAAGGTCTGTGGCAAAATACAGATTGCAACCAGTTGCGTTCTGTAACTTGTGGCAAAACCATCAATTCAGATGACTGGAATACAGGTTTCTGTGGCAAAATACAGATTGCAACCAGTTGCGTTCTGTAACTTGTGGCAAAACCATCAATTCAGATGACTGGAATTTTGAATACAGGTTTCTGTGGCAAAATACAGATTGCAACCAGTTGCGTTCTGTAACTTGTGGCAAAAACATCAATTCATATGACTTGAATACAGGTTTCTGTGGCAAAAACCAGATTGCAACCAGTTGCGTTCTGTAACTTGTGGCAAAAACATCAATTCAGATGACTTGAATACAGGTTTCTGTGGCAAAAACCAGATTGCAACCAGTTGCGTTCTGTAACTTGTGGCAAAACCATCAAATCAGATGACTTGAATACAGGTTTCTGTGGCAAAATACAGATTGCAACCAGTTGCGTTCTGTAACTTGTGGCAAAAACATCAATTCAGATGACTTGAATACAGGCGTCTGTGGCAAAACACAGATTGCAACCAGTTGCGACCTGTAACTTCGTAGTCGTAGTAACAGTTGAGAGATCTAGGGCCGTTGAGGTCCTCGGGTTTAGAGGTCAGGGTTAAGGGTTTAGGGCTAGTGCATCATGTCACATCAGGCATGTCATGTCATGCCATGTCATGTTCTGGAACCCTAAACCCAAAACCCTAAACCGCGGCACATAATGCATGATATGCCATGTCCTGTTCTGGTTTAGGGGTTTAGGGGTCCCATCTCGGCTCGGGTTGGGGGGTTGGGGTTTAGGGTGCCTATGAAGTCGCACAAGACGATCCTTTGCAAAGAGCCATTGTTTCATGGCACACGGTCGTGGACGGAAGATTGAAAGGCCCGGATACATGAAAACGCTAATGAACTTTGCTCGTCATCCAAAAAGGACGGCTTCCAGAATAAGACCACACACATCATGATCTAGCCACCCATGTGTGCCTCGTAAGCATTGGGGCTCACCTGGTACAGATTTGTGGCCAGCATGCACAGGAAGTCACATGTCAAGCATGGGCGGACATGTTGGCTGCAAAGAACCGCACCGCCAGATGTTAGGCTCCAGCTCTTCTTACAGCCTGCAGGAAGTCCGGATGGTGCAAGCTGGTATGCGTCCGAGGGTGAAACTGTCAAAGCAGGAGATCAATTAGATCAGGTCTCTGCATAAATGTCTCGCACCACAGCCACTACAGGTAAAGTGAGGGTTGATGCATGTCTAAACCCGGCCTGCGCAAGAGCGGCAGGGAGGCCGCAAGGGAACTGCCATCAGCCTCGTAGTGAAAAAGGGTTGGGGTTGGGGGTTTAGGGGAGTCGGAGCTGAGCTGAGGATTGACTGTGACTGTGGTGTTTATGGAGCATCCCAGCTTCGATTTGATTGCAAGAGTTTCTTCGGATTTTCGGTGCTTAACACTGCCCTGGCACTCACTTTTTTCTTCATCAATACCCCAGAAGCATCTCAGGTCCCCAGCAAAAGACACATCGTTTGTGCATCTTCAATCCCCCAAAAGTGAGCCCCTCATGAAGTTCGTGGCATTGATCCACTGGCAGTGCGCTGCAATCACTCGTGCCTTGTTCTGCTTAAGGCTGCACAGCAGGATTTTCTTTAACTTGTCCATGTCGTCACTTGAAACCCTGGCTGACAAGTCCATCCCAGCAAAAACCAGAGCCAAAGCAGATTCTCTGCTGAAGGGAGGTATAGCACCAGGATTGGGCTTCAGGTTATCGAGCATGTTGTGGGCATTGCACATGATCGAATGCAAGTCAGCCATTGTCAGGAAAGCCCGCAGATCGTTGAAGAGATTCAAGAGGGCCTCTTTGTAAGTCTCGACATGGTTTATGTGCTCTTGGTAAGTCTCGACATGGTTGTCCACCGCCCGTCTTTTCTGAGTCACTCCGTCGAGACTGAGCTTCCTCCGTAACCTAATCGTCGGCACCATCCTGTTGTTGCATCCTCGCTTTGTTGGCCTGCACCTGCTGCACATCTTGTCACGCCGGTAAGTTCGGCGCGTTGTGCAGAGCAAGCATTGCCACGCCATGATTAGCAACTAGAGTTCGGAATGTTCTCTCTACTTGACTCAACCACTGTTCAGATCATTGTGTGCTTCCTGTCTCCGTTCGTCCTCTGCTTCTGCAGTGTGCATGGAAAAAAACGACTGTGAGGGTACGGCTGCAGGCTTGGCATTGGGGGTTAGGGATAAGAGATGCAGACCAGTCAGTTCGGTTTCGGCTTCAGTGCCCATGTCATGGCATACACATCATTTCCTGTTGGGGTTTACGAGCTAGGGTGTGTAGGGCAGAGCACTAGCAATGTGGAAGTCAGTGTTCAGGCGATTGCACAAGTCCTGATGCAAAAAGGGGCAGAGCACTACAGGCCCGCCTGCTCCAACTCCGGGCATCGGCTGTCGCAAGCAGATTGGTCGGACCTGCCCAGACAAAACAAACTGTCACAGTCAAGCAGTTATGTCCTGCATTCACAGCAGTGCACTGCACACAAGCCGCAGCGACATGGACCCACTACTACTACTGCTGCTGGAGTCTCGGAAAGCATTGCTTTTGCACCCACCAGCCCCGGGTCATCTTGTGTGCGTAGACGGCACTGTACACTCGCACACCATCTTATGCTTAATTTTCGGCCATGAAGGATCTCAGGAAACAAAGCAGAGCACTTGCTCCTCCGTTGCCTTTTTCATCTGACCCTTTGTCTCATCGTCCGTCTGCCTGTACTGCCTGATCTGCCGGCGCCAAATGCATGCCTGGGTCTCCCAAGGTCTCTTCGGGGTGTATACCATGGCTTCCGGAGTTGGGCATCGCACATTTGTAGGGCACATCTTGGCCTCTGCAGCTTTCATGACTTTGTACTCCGGTCTCTGCTTCATCCTCTCCACGAATCTCGCTCTCTTCGGTAAGGAGAGGTCCGTCATTGCAGAGAGAAGTCGTGAAGGCACGAGTCTAAGGCTGCAGAGAGAAGTCGCACAGGGACGAGTCTAAGGCAAGCGGTTTCTTTGAGCAGTGAACCGAGCGGATGCAGGACAATCAAAAGCCTGGGGCACCATCAAACATCCTTAAATCCTGCTCTGCCAGGTGCTCGTGGGTTCTTTTGCATCCTCCGAATCATGACAAATCTTAACTCTCAACCAAGCTGCACCGACCCCTGCCCGGCCTGGAATTTCTTGGATGTCATAGCACTGCCGAAGAAGTAGTCAAGTGCTTCCCTCCAGGCTTCCTGCATCACAGCTGCATTAGACAAATTCCCCAGTCGCACAGTAGTACATCCTTAGACTCCGGTCCAATGCCATCTATAGCCACCTATATACCAAATCCATACATTTGAAAGGCTAATACCGTTCTATGTAGCAAGACTCAGATTGCAACCGGTTGGGTTCTGTAGTTTTCTCAGACAGCCATGAATTGAGATGATTCTTAGTTGCAGGTTTCTGCCACAAAAAACAGATTGCAACCAGTTGCGTTCTGTAATTTGTGGCAAAACCATCAATTCAGATGACTTGAATACAGGTTTGTGTACCAAAACACTTAGTCGTAGTAACAGTTGAGAGATCTAGGGCCGTTGAGGTCCTCGGGTTTAGAGGTCATGGTTAAGGGTTTAGGGCTAGTGTATCATGTGACATCAGGCATGTCATGTCATGCCATGTCATGTTCTGGAACCCTAAACCCAAAACCCTAAACCGTGGCACATAATGCATGACATGCCATGTCCTGTTCTGGTTTACGGGTTTAGGGGTTGCATCATACATGGTTTAGGGCTAGTGAGTCAGGTTACATCAGGCATGTCATGTCATGTTCTGTTTTAGGGGCTTAGGGTGACATAATGCATAACATGCCATGCCATGTTGTGGTTTAGGGGTTTAGGGGTCGCATCAGACATGTCATCCCATGCCATGTTATGTTTTATTGGTTTAGGGGTTGCATCATACATGGTTTAGGGCTAGTGAGTCATGTCACATCAGGCATGTCATGTCATGTTCTGTTTTAGGGGCTTAGGGTGACATAATGCATAACATGCCATGCCATGTTGTGGTTTAGGGGTTTAGGGGTCGCATCACACATGTCATCCCATACCATGTTATGTTTTATTGGTTTAGGGGTCGCATCATGCATGCCATCCCAAGGCATGTTCTGGTTAAGGGATCACATCAGGCCTGTCACAACATGCAGTCAAGTGCCCTTCGGTTTAATAGTGATGCAACCCTTTATGTAGGCCTGTGCTGTGACACTTTTACTCCGGCAGCTCGTCTGCTTCATCGTCCTCAGGCCCTGGGGGCAAGTTGCCTCCTCCATCTGCCTGCACATGTATCGGCCGGTACTCTTCTGGTGCCAGTGGAGCCCTTGCAGCTGCAGGAGCAAGAGCATCAAACGCATGCCTTGTCAGGGCAGTTTAAGCCGCAAACCCACACTCAATTCACAGCTCATCTGCATGCTGCAGCAAACTCTTGCTTTACAAAATGAACAGGAATGACTCAAATCCCTTCTTGAGATGGCCTGTTGTGGTTCAAGAACTCATACTGGGCAGGTCGCGGGTGTCGTCTCAAAGTGCCCTTGGCCCAGCCGACCAAGAAATCACGAGCAGCATCCTTGGCTTCCCGAAGAACTTGGCAGACCAGTGCCAGAAGCAAAGAAAATCAATTACTTAGAGTTTACAGCACAGCGGCATTGATGCACCCTTCTCGGTGAGCCTGCAATGCTTTCGCAACCACTTTGTCCCGGTCCTTCACAGCTTTTCGCGGGTAAACACCTGACGGCTGCCTTGACAATCTGGCTCGCAGCGCCGGAACCTCTGTCCCAGGTACCAGAAGACAGACTTGAAAATGCCTCCGTGAAGCCATTCGCTGGCGCACCACACAAACTACATCATCAGGATGGGACGGTGGGGCACCTGGCCATGTTGTCACAGGCACTTGCAGGTAGCCGAGATCTTTCAAGGTCGTGATCTCGAACCTTGCTTCCGACACTTTCGGGTTTAGGGTCTGCTGCTCCGGTTCAACAAATTGTTCCAGCAGAAAAGAGGTTCCATGCAGCTCGAGTAGCGAATGGGGGGCCTTCGGGCCTGTCAGGTTGGAGAAGACCAAACCGACCTCCTCCCACCAGCTCTGCCAGTTGGCTTGCTCATCGCCTTGCGATCAAACCATTCATGGCTGCTACTTCAACTGAGGACACAAAACAGATCCAAAAATCCTCTGAGTTAAGCTGCCGAGTTGCCCTTCCAGGCACCTCTGAAGCTTGCTCCCCCATCCACAGTGGACTGCTGCAGGAACCCATCGTAGATCCCCACCAAACTGTCAGCATCGGAGAACTCGCAGGCACTGCATTTGGTGACAGCCTGCCCTCCGAGCCCATCAAGTGGCCCGTGAGTGTGCCCCTTGCTGGGATATTGCAGGCTTATCCTCTCACACCTGCAGCAAATGGAGCTTGACACACCAGGACAGGAGGAGACCGTTTTTGCAGTCCCGACTGCAGTTGTCCTGTACGATGCAGATGTGGACAGGAAGTGCTTGATTGCAGTTGTTGTAGACTTTGTCGAGAAGCCGAGAAATTCCCTCCACATTGGAATTTGTATTCTTGTAGACATCTGCATCCTTGATCTCAAACGCCAGCGCATGGCCCTGGGCCCAAAGCATGAGCACTGACAAGCTTGGACGCAGCAGGGCTTCAAAGCCATGAGTCTTCGTCATAGACCTTGGGCACTTGTGCTTTGCCTGGTCCAGGCCGTCGGCCCTGATCAAGACTACACTCAGGGACCGCTGGATGTCCCGGAGTCGGACCCCCATTCCTTTCTTGCAAAGCTGGGCAAGAAAACCGAAGTGTGCTTAGTGTTGTACACAAAAAAGCAGCAACCCATGCATGGCAAGACGAGGAACTCAAACTTGTTCGTAGCTGAACACTAAGAGCTGCCCATCGCAGATCAGCCTCCCGATCCTGCCATTGTAGCATGAGGTGCCTGATGTAATCATCCAGGGTCCTTGGTCAGGACCGAAGTTACTCGTCACATTTTGGGACTTGGGTTCTCATGTCTGTTTTGGGCTGCCCAGCCGCTGTTGCCTCTCAGCCGGACTGAGATGCTGCCGGAGCCTTTGCTTGAAGCTCCTGAGGTCGCTGGTCGATAGGCAGGACATGAACTGACACAGCAATAGGCAGGACATGAACCGAGCCAGCAGTGCAGCCCGGCAGCCAGCAAGTGTCACAGACCGCATGTTCACCAGCATTCTTTCTGAACTTCAACCACCCACGGCACTCTCGGACTGCTCGGCAGAATGTTGTGAACGATGGCACAGGGTGACTGTTTTCCCTTGCCCACTGCTGCAGCCAGAGGAACATCATCGATGGCCGCGCCACACCCAGGTACCGTCTTGCACCTGCACCGACACCTGGACCGGTCAGCACCTTTTCAGGCGCTTCCAGTAAACAGCAGCACTGAAGCGAGCACGATGCCACTGCACGAGCTTCAGCATCTTCAGCAGCATCCACATCCGAAGAGGAGGACGACCCACTTCTCGCTGCCGATTGCTGCTGCCTTCAGAACTGCAGCACATCGCCACACTCAAGCTTGATTACAAGCATGTCACATTACAAAAACAACAAACTGAAGCTGGTGGAAGGAGGGACGAATGCACTATTGTAGTCCTGTGGCTGCCAACAGAGCTTGTCTCGAATCTGAATTTGTCTGGCATGCCTTCAGCATCGAACTGGTACCGATGCCACAAAAAGAGCTTGCAAACCCGCAGCATGGGAGAGCTGGCCGGGTTCTTCGACCGAATGGAGTTTGCCTCACGGCGCCTGTCTGGCTGCCCTTGCAATACCTTGTGATCTCAGTGAAGTGGCCCAGCAACAAAGGAGTCAATGAAGCTAACAAACGTCTTGCATGTTGCAGTCCTGGCAACTCTGTGTACCCGAGATGCACCCACCTGGGCTCAGGGCTCGGACTATCAAGACATGTATCCCTAACCTGGGCAAAGCTAAGCAGGGAAACTCACACTCCAGATGAGCTGCACGAAGAAAGGCATATGCACTCTTCAGGCAAACTTTCAAGTCATCTGCAGGGACGATGCCTGCCAGTTGTACAGAGGGCCTCTTGGTAGCAATCCTTGTTTTGTAGTGCTTCCTCTTCTGGGGCTTCGAAGGCTTGCCGTCCTCGCTGGACTGCAGGTCCAACTCATCAGATTCGGGCTCAGAAGTTGATTCGCAAGCCTGATCTGCATGGCCGGGCTCAGAAGTACCTTCTGGATCACTGGTCACCTCATCTGGGCCCACATTTTCATGAGGTGCAGAGCTTGTGGAGGAGCTCCTTCTCCGTTTCTTCGCCACTCTGACAGCTGAGGAGGACTGCACCTCCCTCTCATGTTCATGAGGTGCAGGGCTGGTGGAGGAGCTCCTTCTCCTTCTCTTCGCCATTCTGACAGCCGAGGAGGACTGCACCTTCCTCTCACATTCATGAGGTGCAGGGCTGGTGGAGGAGCTCCTTCTCCTTCTCTTCGCCATTCTGACAGCCGAGGAGGACTGCAGCTTCCTCTTATTGCTCTGCTTCTCTTCGCGGTCTGATACCATTGCAGACCTGCTAAAAATCCAGAGGATGTCTCGGTCGGCTGCAGCCCGATCAAGCTGATGAAGCTGGGTCGAGTACTTTTGTAGCTCGTTCACATAAGGGGCCGCCTTCTCGTAGCAGCCTCAATGAGTGCAGGGTAGTTGCGGTGTGTGTGTGTGTGGGGCATGGAAAGCTTCACTTCTTATCATGCCGAGAAGGCTCTGTGCTTGCAATGTAAGCATTGCTTCTGCAGCTTCCGGCATGTCTGCAAAGATGCAGAGAACTTGTTTGCGAAACTCATCATGGCTACCGGTGTCTCCGATAGGACTCATGAGGAGTAAGTTCATGCTCCTAGCATTCTACTTTCCTTCGGCAAGTCCTGGTGGATTTATAGGGTTTAGGTCTTCGGGTTGAGGCTCGGGTAAGTGGTTTCTGTGGTGCGTCATCTTTTCACACTCGCAATTTTGGACCACTGTGGGGCTAAACGGGTTCATGTCTATCAGGCTCCTGCTGTGCACTGCTTGAGAAACGAAGCTGCGCAGGCAGCAAGCAGTGGACATGCTCGTGAACAATCTCCATTCCTGCTTTCTTCAATCAAACAATGCTGCTCTCAAAGCAAGCTGTACGCACCTGGTCCAACTGAAGCATGCCGCCGCTGCAGCCTGTATCGAAAATGCACGTTCTGAGGAACATTAGTTCATTTGCCTAGTGCCTCTCGATTCCCTCTGACTGGTGATTCCGACAAGGTCTCTTCAGTTTTGCTTCACGAAGATGTGATCTGTAGACCCTTGATCCTGTGTAAGCTCTGCGTTTAGCATTCGGCACACTTGCAATTGCAATGGCTCTGCTTTTCCGGATTGAACAGCAACTCAAAGCAGCTGATTGGCTATTGCAGGATGTGCACCAGAATGGAAACCAATACACTGGCAGCCACATTGGCTGTGAAACCATTGCCAGCGAGCTCTTGGGCCTGCTTGACTGTAAGATCTGTCAGGCCTGCCGCTTTGAGCTCACGGCTTGACAGGCCTTGCAGGCTCATCACAAACGTCGGAGACTTGTTCAGGTGCAGCCCATTCTCGTCCAAGTACAGAAACCGCTTCTGCGGAAGAAGGCATGGGTGCACTGTTCTCCATTTGTGTCGTTGCAAAGTGTCTCCGCTGGGGACGACGAACCTGGGCCGCTGCTGCCAACTATATGTCAACTTCACCCAGCGATCAGCAACCCCTTCAAGCTGCCAAAATGAATGCAAGACACAGGAGAGACTGGTCGATGTCCTTGGTTTGTCACACCGGACCAGTCAAGGAGGTCATACATTGACACCGAATGGTTTACAACCTTTTGCAGAGCAAGATTCATGGCCCCATGTCTTGCGCAGCTTGGCAAAGGACAGATGGGTTGCTTCCAATTCTCTTTCTGGCAAATCCAGCTCCTGCAAGCCTTGTGCAAGCAGAAGGCCTTCAATCTGAGGTTCAAGAACCACCCGAATGCTGAGGCCGGAACACTGATGCACCCATCTGACCTGTGGAACTTGTAGATCCTTTTCTGTGATGTTGTGCTTCTCCTTGTAAGCTGCATGGTCTGCAGGCCATTTCTGAGAAGATGCTGCCCTGCCGGTTGCCATCTGTCGTTTCCGAAGTTCCTGCACACTAGCAAATTGGAACAGAAACATGTATCCCACACTGACTGCCCAAGCAATATGCTTGTTCAGCTAGGCTGCTTGCTTATCAGTAGCTCTCTGCCACAAATCCACCAAAGGCTCGTGCCATTGCACTTGACACCGTCTGACTAGTCGCCACGCTGACGAGAGCTTCTCTCCAGCTTTCTGCTCAGCCCCCGGAGCCTGGGATCTCAAGGTGGTCAATGAAAGAACAAACTGGCCTGTTTCATTGATTTGCATTCTGCAGGCCAAGTTGCCGCCAGGTCCAATTTCAAGCTGATTCCATAGACCCTGTTCCTGCTATGTGGCAAAGCAAAATGTTTCGAGTTGACCACCTCAAGGGCAGGCCACTGAAGCAAACATGAGCTGCAAGCCTCAACTTGTTGCACAAATGATTCTGGAAAAGCTGCCTGGAAGCTCGACACATACCCCTGCTTGCGCATGAGGTCCTTGATGACTTCTGTCCCCTTTTCATTCACAGTCTTCCTGTGAGCGTCCAAGTTTTTCACACATTCCCACATGATGCCAACTGGTCTCTGGGACCATTCCAAGCGTTGGATGAACTCAAGGAATTGAAGAAAGCTGCTTCCACTGTGCCCCTTAGCATCTAGAATGCTTTTCGGCGAAGAGGTCTGGCACGAGATATCATCACACTCCACACCGACAATGGCCAGGGAAAGTGCTGGCATGGATTCTCTGGGCACTGCCTGCAGTTCGGATGTGGCCCCATACACCTTGGTAGGCCACTAACCATCTGACAATAATCATATCACCCTGCTCGTGATTGGTGAACTTTGCAAATCAACCAAGAGCCCTAAAGAGCATCCCACATCCTGCCAAGATTCGGGAATGTGTTCCCACTCGTGCCCCTGTGCTGCCAACATATTCTGCAGCACATCGCGCTTCCACTTGACAAGCTCGGTGTAAAAACAAGGTTTTGGGATGACCGATACATCATGATCCTGCTGCAAAACTTTGCGCAGAATCTCCTCGGGTCAAGCTGCAACATACATCAAAGACGAAGAGCATCTGCAACTAAACACACAGCGACGATGCAAAACGAGCAACCAATGACTGGGAACCGGTACCCATTCCAGCACAGAATTCTGCAAAATGTACTTCTCTGGATCTCAACTTCCGCAGCTCTGCAGTGGAGAGGACATTGCCGAGCACGTAGCTCAGGAAATCAGTGCAGCATGAACTTCTGAAGCCGGGATTGGGCTGGCCAGTCTCTTCACAGTCTGAGCTTGAGTGAGGTGCAGCAGCCTTTCGTTTCTTCTTCTGCCTCTCTGCCCAATCCTTCTCTGCTTTCTCAATGCGAATGGTTTCTGGGCTATCCTCAGGTTCTGTTGTTACTTCTGAGGCTGCTTCGTCTCCGGTAAGCTGTCTGTGTCCTGACTGGTACAGCAGGTATGCCACTGTAAGGCTGCAACATGACGACATGCAAGTCCTGGCTGGATCTTGGAACTTGATGCTCTGGACCTCCTTTGTCCTGGTGGCTCGCATCTGAGACACTGTAAGAGCTTTGGTTGCCGGCCAAAGCTCAGCTGGAGTCCTTTGGCCCTTGAAGCAGTCTCTTGCACTGCAGGCTC